GCTAAATGACTCGTTTTATTCCAAGGCCTGAGTTGGAGCTAGCAGCTCCGCCGAGCTTTGTCGGTATCCAAGATGGAGATCGCCGGTGCTGGGGGGGGGGGAGGGGTGGCCTTCCCTCCTCTGCTCCCTGAGAAGGAGTGAGGATGTCGGGCTTCTACTCACGCCTAGTTTTGGATCCTGGGTTGTCTCTGGTCTGCAATCTGCAGGATGAAGCTGTCTGCTCCTTGTCGGTTCTTGCTGGTGTTGAGTAGAATCCGCTCGCCCGCTGCGTCTGGCTCCTTCGTCCCAGACTCTCAGCGCTCAGGTATAGCCCGGCTGCGGTCTCCACCGCGACCCTGCCGCCGCCGATAGCCCGGCTGTGGTCTCCACTGCGACCCTGCTGCCGCCGCTGTCGCTGGCGGCTGCTGGCTGGTGCTCAGATGTGTATTCTTGCCTTGGCTTTCTCTCACTTGTCTAACTCTCTGTCCTGTGATGGCACACTTGGTGTGTTTCTCTGGCTTAGGACTGTTCACTGGAACTCTAAAACTGCTTTCTATGCGAGAGCTTGTTCAGATTCCAGCTTCTCCTCCGCCATCTTGTCGCCTCCCCTGGATTAGTTAGTTTTTTTTATGCTTCTTTTGGAAAATCTTTATTTTTCTTCTGTTTTAAAAGATAAGTTTACTGAATATAGCAGTGTTGGATGACCATTATCTTGCTTGAAATAAGTCAACACATACTTTCCTGGCCTTTAGGATTTCTGCTAAGCTGTCTGCTTTATTTTGATGAATTTGCCTTTGTAAGCAACTTGGTGTTTCTTTCTTGCAGATTTCAATATTCTTTCTATTGATATATATTCTTAGTGTTTTAAGTATCATATAGCATGTATGTGTTCTTTTCTGCCTACATTTTATTTGAGGTTTTAGTGCCCCACATATGTGGATGACCATTTATCTCCTTATATTTGGGAATTTTTCTGGAGTTATTTTATCAAATAAGTTTTCTGTGCCTTTAGTCAGTATTTCCCTTCCAGCATCTCTACCATAGATTCATAGATTTCATCTTTTAACCAAGACTCAGAGATCTTGGATGTAGTGGCTATGATTGTTTTTTTTTTCTATTGATAACTGAATGCAATCATTCCTCAACTTGAACTTCAATTCCTGATATTCTTTCTTTTGCCTAGCTTTGTTTACTGGTGACATTTTTAATTAATTTTAAAAATTGCATTATTGAGCTTTTTGTTTCCTGATTTTCCTATTGGCTCCCCCACCCCCACCCCCACCCCCGACTATCTCTTTTGGATGAATTTCTCATCTAAGTTGCTGAATTTTGTATTCAGGTCTTCAATTTACTTCCTTACATCTGGATTTTGAATTTTTGCATTTCCCTGAAAACTAATGATGTTGCATACCTTCTCATTTTCCCGTTGCCTATTTGATACCTTCTTTAGAAAAATGTTTTGTTCAGTCTATTCTTTCCCTATTTTTAATTCTGGGTGCCTTTTTCAAAAATTGGTTGACCCTTTGTATTTGGATTTATTTATAGTTTATCTATTCTGTTCCATTGGTGCATATGTCAGCTTTTATGCAAGTAATTTGATTTCTAACTTTATCATACAGTTAAGAAGTATGATTACCTTTTCTTTTTCTTGGTCAAGATTGCTTTAGCTATTTGGAGTTTATTTAGGATATTTTTTCCTACTTCTGAAAAGAATGAAATTGAGATTTTGGTAGGGCTGTTTTGAATCTATAGATAGCTGACAGTTTCAACACTTTAGCAGAGTTATTTTTCCAGTTCATGCAATAGGTTTTCTTCCCATTTACTTGTGTTATCTCTAATTTCTTTTATCAAAATTTTGTAGTTTTCAGTATATAAATTTTTTATTTCATTGTTTAAACTTAATCCTAAGTATCCTACTGTTTTTGTCTCTATTGTAGCTTAGACTTAAAAGTTTTTCTTTTTTAGATGGTACATTGTTAGTGTATGAAATGAGTGTTTTTATATGCTTATTTTTATCTCCTACATTTTTTTTCTTTTTCACAAGATCTTAGATTATAACAAATATTCTTCATTTTTTTAGAAGTTTTTGGGGTTTGAGCTCAGGTTATGCAAGCAGTTGAGCCACTCTACTCCCCACCCCCAAATCCCACCATAGATTTCACAAACTTTTTAAATCAATGAGACAATTCATGTCTTAATGCTTTGTCTTAACAATTTAATTTAGTTTAATTGTAAACCATGTTCTAGAAGGAGGATGTTGTAGTTAGGAGGATGAAGTATTTGAATCTCTTGAAAATTTTCATATCCTGTAGTACTTACGATTTTCTTGAGCATCTTTTTCATATATATCAATCTATCTTACAAAAGATCCTTTCTTTTTTCAGTCCTGGGGTTTGAATTCGGTGTTTCCCACTTGCTTGGCAAGTGCACTACCACTTAAGTCATATACCTAGTCATTATATTGTGAATCTTCCTGAGCACATCTAGTGACATCGAACACTTCTGTATTCACTTTCAACACATATTTGTAGGTCTTTACAGTTTTCTGGCATTAGACAACAAAGCCATTTAAAATATGATGTGAAACTGAGAACATCTATAAATATATATGTTAACTATAAAAAGTTACTGTTTTTTATTGTAAAAATACTGTACAGAGGGGTTACAATTACATGGGCAAGATAATGAGTACATTTCTTATCAAACATTGTAGCCTCCTCCTTTGTTTCCCCTTCCCATCCCATCCTCCCCTGGCCCTCCCACCCAGCCTTTCCCCCTCCCCTTCCCCCCCCCCCAAAGTTGTAGTTTTCGACTTAACGAGTAAGTCTCATTGTTGCAATGGGTCCACCTGTATCCCTATTTAAACGATTTGTTTTTTTCCTTCCCCTCCACAAATTATAACAACATCAAATACAGTGAAAGTAAGGGTTATACTGTGGGGGAGGGACATACAAAGCAACAAAGAAATAATCTTATAAATGTGTTAGAAACAATCGCATGAAAGAAAAAAAACATTTGAATAAATATCTTAGGGTTCATTGCCCTAACATCAACTTATCTGACCTTTTCTGCTTGACTCAGACAAAGTTACTGTTTTTATGGATGTGATACCTATGATGTTTCAGAATAAAACTTTTCAGAAATGCAATTGTTTTATAAGATATAGAATAAATATAAAATTTTTGTCTATTAACTAACAACTAGCTGGATTCTTTAAAAGCCACCGTGAATAGAACGTCCAGTGAGTTACAAGCTCTGAGAAAACATTCTTCTAAAATAAAGAAAGATATTCAGGAAGCAACAGCAAGGTAAGGAAAGAACTATTTAAATTTTTGTTCATTCTGATTCTGGGGCTTGAACTCAGAGCCTCAGGTTCTTGACTTTCTCTTGATTAGAGAAAACAGGTAGTGCTCTACCACTTGAGCCACACTTCTACTTCTGACTTTTTGCCAGATAATTGGAAATAGTAGTTTTGTGGATTTTCCTGGCTAGAATGGGTTCGAATAGTGGTCCTCAGATCTCAGTCTCCTCAGTGGCTAGGGTTATAGGCATGAACTATGAGTACCCAGCTTATTTAAAATTTTTAACTACCTCTAGAAAGCTACTAAACACTTAACATTAGTCTTTTTGGGGGGATGGGGGCTGGTCATGGGGCTTGAACTCTGGGTCTGGGCACTGTCCCTTAACTGCTTTTGTTCAAGCCTTGAGCCATAGTGCCACTTACAGCTTTATCTGTGATTAATTGGAGATAAGAGTTTCATGAATTTTCCTGACTGGGCTGGCTTTGAACCGTGATCCTCAAATCACTAGGATTACACATGCGAGCCACCTGGCACATTAGTCTTTCTTAACTTTCTTTCTTAACTTGTTAAAACCTTGTTTTATAATTTTCCTGTCATTTTTATCACAAGGTCTCAAGAGCACTGTTTTAGGGCCTATGAGATATGTAGTGATAATCAAAATGTTAACAGCAAAAGAAGTTTTCAAATTATATAAACGATTTTAAGAATCAACTTTCTTTGCTTGCATTTAATATTGTGTACACGTTTTCTGTCTTTTCTTCACACACCTGTTTAGGTTATACAAAATAAAAAATCACAATCAGATTGTAAAAAGAAAATTAGACATGATAACTGAGAAAACCATGAGTGTAGAAGAAAAAGCTACCAATTTGGAAGACATGCTAAAGGAAGAGGAAAAAAGCATAAGGGTAAAGTTCCATTAAAAGACCGATAGCACACTTAGCAAGAGTGAATTAGATTCTTGGGGTCCAGAGACTAGAAAGTCTTAGAAGAGGCTCTGCAACTCAGTTAGAATTTAACCTTGAAGGGTCCTTTGCTTCACCCATGTCCTTTGCTCTCCGATGCCTACGTGTGCCCAATGGTCCGGTACCCCTATGTCTGCTATCTTGATGAAAGGACCTTTATTCTGTAACTGATTTTCACCCAATTATCACTTTGTTGTATTGTTTTGTGATCAAATTCCCTTCACAGGCTACATTACTTATATGACATCATCACCTGCTCTCCCATTAACCTCTTATAATCTGGAAGTTACTTTTGCAAATGAAACTCTAAAATACACCACTTCAATAACTTTCTCTTCCCCTCCTCCCAAAACTGGTATGTCCTTCATATGAAAGCCATTTATGAGGAACTGGGAAAGGCTGGCTTCCCATTTCTCCTTTACAAATATCAGAGTGGTCAACTAATAAGTGTCTCATGACACTACAGGTACTGCTTCTTACTCTATTGTGAGGGGCAGAGGAAAGCAGAAAATGGCAGCAAGACTCTGGATATTTTATTTAAGATATGGATCCATTCATATTTGGGTAAAATCCAGCTTTTTCAATGTGTTATAAATATTCCTCAGTAATGAAATCAAGCAGCACCGAGTTAAGTAGCATTTGAGTTCAAATCAGACATCAGTATTTTAAAGTTGTATGTTTTCTTTCCCTATGAGCATGGTTTTCTATGAGACAGTGTAGGACTGAAACTTATAAGAAATCTATGACATTCATATGAAATAGATCTTTTGGTCACATAAAATTAAAAACAGTCTTACATTTAAAAATTATTTATCTATTTTTATAGTGAAAATACCATACAGAGGGGTTACAATTACATGAGCAAGGTAATGAGTACATTTCTTATCAAGCATTTGTTTCCCCTTACTATCCACATTCTTACATTTTTTTGAAGATATTAGTGGGCAGCAAGTACATTAATGGGAACATTAGCGGGGTTGTGTTCATTATCTTTGTTTTCATTGCTGTTGAGTTTTGTTTGTTGAAATAAAAAGCCTCAGCTCTGTCTTTTTTTTTTGAGATATACTCACTTACTTACTACCCAGCACCAACTTTGAAACTTTGCCAAACAATCTTCTAAAAGGTCTTAATCCCAGTGAAAATCACCTATTACATTTAAAAATGCAGAGACTATCAGGTATATCTTGCCTTGTAAGAGTTTAAATATATCAGCAGAGATTTGTCTCCTATTGAGATTCAAAGGGAAATGTACTTATGAGTGTATAAGAGTACAGAGGAAGCCAGGTGCTGGTGGTGCACTCCTGTAATCCTGGTTACTCAAGAGGCTGAGATCTGAGGATCGCGGTTCAAAGCCAGCCTGGGCAAGGAAAGTCTGTGAGACTCTTATCTCCAATTAACCACCAGAAAACTGGAAGTGGTGCTGTAGTCAAGTGGTAGAGCACTCACCTTGAGATGAAGAGCTGAGGGACAGTGCCCAGCCCCAGAGTTCAAGCGCCACGACTGACCAAAAAAAAAGTATTTTGGATATTGGGTGCTAGATTCAGCTTCCAATGAAATAAATTGTATTCAAATGCAATGCCTTTTCAGAATTCATTATTTCCATGTTATTCAAACAATTGTTTCTAAAGGTGAAAGTTCATGACATCACTTATATTTATGTCAAAAATGCCACATAATGATCTGATTCTGTGTATCTCTTCCCAACTGTGCATTTAGAGAATTACTGTTAGTAGCTTGAATTTTGCCATTGTGGGAGTATTTCTAAATGGAAGCCATATTCTCTCTCTGACTCCCATCCAGTGGAGGGCTGGTTACTTAAACACTGAGCTGGTACCTCAAAAGGAAGTAGATTACACAATGTGATTTTCCCCCCCAATTTTACCCTGGAGATTTTAGTGAGCTTTGTAAATGGACAAGCTGTATACCTCCAGTGGATTTTAGTTTCTGAAGAGGCCTATTTCTTTTCTTTCTTTCTTTCTTTTTTTTTTTGGGTCCGGTCGTGGGGCCTGAACTCTGGGCCTGGGCGCTGTCCCTCAGCTCTTCAGCTCAAGGCTAGCACTCTACCACTTGAGCCACAGCGCCACTTCCGTTTTTTTTCTTTTTGCTTATGTGGTGCTGAGGAATTGAACCCAGGGCCTCAGGCATGCAAGGCAAGTGCTCTACCACTGAGCCATCTTCCCAGTCCCTGAAGAGGCCTATTTCTGAGCCTGGGGCAATGTGGGATGGAATTCAGGTCACAGGTCAAGGTGTGAGATTGAGGAATAGAAAACTAATGATCTAGTCCACCAGGACAGACATTATAAGAAACATTGGAAATTATGGGATGGGCTTTTTTTAAGGGCTTAAAAAGGTTGCTTTTGAGTTTCTAAATTATAATGTTCATATAAATAAAATATTTTAAGATATTCTAATTGCATTCATCACTATAATTCTTATTCTCAGGAAGTGGAAGCTCAATTGAACATAGTGAAAGATGTGTTGTTTAAGAAAGTTCAGGAGCTACAGGCTGAGACAACAAAGGAAAAAGCGATTATGTCAGAAATTGAAGGAACCCGTTCCTCTCTGAAGCATCTCAACAATCAGTTACATCGGCGGGACTTTGAAACCTTGAAGCAGCAAGAAATTATGTATAGTCAGGTATGTGGCACTCTTATAAAATCCTTCCACATTGATTTGTTGTAGTTGTGATGATAAAGACACCCCAGTACAGAGTTTGGTGTGGTGGTACCCACCTGTATATAATCTCAGCACTCAGGAGGCTGAAGCAGGAGGATCTTAAGTTTGAGACCAACTTAGGGTACATGGTAAGGGCAAGGTCAACTTGGACCCTGTCTCAATAATCAACAAACAACAACCCCTAGATGCTCCAGTATCTTAAGAAAATATATTCTAAATAATTTTTGGAACAATAAGTAGATGCTGAATGTTGGCTTTAATAATAGGTCACTAAAAGGTCAAAGGAATTTAAAAGCTATGTTTTCCCTCAATCTAAAATAAATGGGCAACAGGAAAAAGCTCTAGGGAGAGAAGGCCATGTTTATAGAAATCTGGGGTGTCTGGACCTAGAGTGAAACAAAGGTCATGACATAGCAAACCTCAAAAAACTGGATGCTGATTTTCACTTATACAAATGTGTAAATCCATAGCTCCCTCCCCAGGCCAGGAGTGAAAGTATTTTTGATGTTTCTGTATTTTGATATATATTAACATATATTTTCTATTTATGCTAATTTCTTAAGTCCTATTTCTCTACATCGCAATTTCCACGCCCAACATATTCTTAATTTCTCCCAAGTACAGTTGCTAATTAAACTGATTTTAAACACTATTCACTGCAAGTTTACCATATACCCTTTTATGGCTATCTGTGACTTTTTGCATCCTGTATGAAATGTCCCCTCAGAAATCCATTCCACTGGATTCCTGAGGCTTTGGGAGTGACTTGGTTGTATTTTTCAGATGGGTTTTGGGTTTTTGTGTCACTCTCATGTATTCTGATTACTGAATAATGGTTGTTGTTCCCCTTAAAATAGGAAGAATTTTATCCCAGATTAGTGAAGCACCAAAGTAAACTCAATAATGCCTCCACGAAACTAAAGGCAGTATTTACTGTGTTGGTAGTTATGGCAATGCCTTTAATTATTTATATCCCCTCACTAACCTCTTTTTAAAAACTATTAACAGGATTTTTACATTCAGCAAGTGGAACGGAGAATGTCACGGTTAAGGGGAGATATTAATACAGAAGAGAAACAAATCCTTGAAGCAAAAATTGTTGAACTCAAGAAAACACTGGAAGAGAAGCAATCAACATGTACCATTTTAGAAACACAGATCAAGAAGCTTCACGTAACTTAGACAAAAACCTTTCTTTGTTTTCAATATCCTATTTACTAGTCATTTTCTTTAAAGTCAATGTGTTCCTAAGATGTAATTGCCAAGTCACCCTAACAAATACCCTAACAAATACTATCAGAATGTAATGTTCCCACCAATAAGGATTTTATTCCATGCTAAATGTTGCATTACCTCCCTCTAATATTCTATTTCACATAATCCTTAAAAGTGTCTTGTGACATTCACATATATATTATATATGTATTCTTTATCAATGCATTTATATGATATATAGTACATATACAGTATATGTATACAAGTTATATAAATATACACATATTATTCTGTGTAAATTTCTATAAGTTTCCAGAGTATGTAGCTAGCCCATAGAGGTAGGGTTTGATTCGTGATCCACTTAAATACTCTTAAAGCATCTACCTACTATGGAGAACATTGATATATCCCAGTTTTATGCCATAATGAATAACCTGAGGCTCTTTACCACTAAAATGTCAGCTAGCCGAAGCAACTGTTTATATGTTGTTGTCTGTTGTCTACTAATTGGTTAAAATATTTCAAATGACATCATTAAGTAAGATGAGAATATTTTTTAATTGTAGGAATTTTGTTTTAAGACCTGAACACGCTGGGAACTTTATAGGGTTTAAATGTTTATTTATTTCCTGTGGGAAGGACTGGTGATGACTGTCCCCTAGTGGTTCCAGTTAGAATTGCCCTGCATAACATTTTGGTTTGGAGTTCATGCCTTGATAAAATATTGATTCACTGTTGTCTTGGTTTACTGGAAAACGATACCAGCTTTGGGACTGGATAAAACCTGTTCTGGATTTTTCACTCTGGCCATTTTAACTTTTCTGCACCCTAGTACACTCATTTATTAATTGGAAAAGAAGATATTGAATATTATTTTAGGGTATTTGGGAAAACTAGAAGTGGTGTATATCTTAACTCAGTGCTTGCAATAGATATGTCATAGCCATCATTGTGTCAATTATTTAGAATACTAGACTACAAGAACATTATGCTAGAGAAAAGGAGAAGAGTCTGTATGTGAGCATGCTTCCTGACTGTGGCCGGGATCGTGTGCATGCTGTGGTGTGGGGACACCGCTGATTCCTTCCTCTTCTAACCTCCTAGCCACGGTGTCTCCATTATTCAGCAAGCTAGTACCTAGCCCTGTTCCAACTCTGCCTTTAATAGACAAGAGAAATACAGTGATTTTTTTAAAAAAAAATTAAAGCTAGTTAATGAAGATTTGCTCTTCTCCACAGTAGTATTTGATTGTAAGGTCATTCTGTATGCCCTTTCCCATGGCACCTCAGATCTTACTTTACAGAAACTTAGTACTTTACAGAAACTCAGTTCTTTAATTCTTTTGTTCCAAATGTAATTTTCTGACATCACACTTTTATACCACTAATTTTACTCTTCTTCTTGTCTGGCTACTGCAAAGGAGGAGGGAAGAGATGGTGTGGGCAGGGGTCAGGAGGCCCTTCTGTTTCTCACAATCTGGACCTTGGGAAAAATCAAACAGTAAACTCTAGAATGGCATCAATGAGTCCTGTACAGCTATCCATGTACATTTCACTAGAAGCATTAACAAGATGATAGAGATGAAAGTATTTGGTTATTAAATGCTGACATAAAAAAGGGAAAATAAGCAATAGTACAATAATATGAGAAACAATTGTAAATATGAGAAATAATTTAATATATCTTTAGTATATATTTACCATGGTTATTTAAAACAAAATTTCATGTACCTTTGCCTTCCTACAGAATGACCTTTACTTTATCAAGAAGTCAAACAGTAAAAATTGTGAGGAAAAGCAGGTTTTCATGAATAAAATAAATGAACTAACACTTTTCATCGACAGATCAGACAAAGAACTTAAGAAAGCCAAAGAATTTAAAGAGGTGCGATAAACTTGTTTGCATAATTTTAAAAGTGGTGTATTTCTATGTTAACTATAGAAAAATTTAAAATACAGTGAATAATGAAGAAGAAAATAAGTCATTATGGTCACTCTACTTAAAGTGTTAAAGTCGATTATTCCTTTTGGTCAAAACTGACTTTATCTGTTGGATTTATACATATTTAATGTATTTTAATACATACATTTAATGTATAATACATGTTTTCTAAACATTAACTGCTATTTTGAAAATAAGTCTTAAAAGACTTTGAGTACATTGCATGAAGTTAGCATAGTTTAAGCAGATTTTACTCCTGGGTATGATTGTTTCTACTGTTTTGTTGTACACTATAATGTGCAGTGCCCATATCTATATAGATGTAGAATTGTTCAATTGATTTCTTGAGATACATTTCTATATGTGTAATTATGATTCAAAAATGAGATGCTCATAGTGTCTCAAAATGCTTTTTAAGTCAAATTACCCTCTTGAGGTTTCAATTCATACCTCCTACCAGCCATATGTAAGTGATTCTTTTTTTGTTTACTTCCACTGAGAATATTTTAAGTTATAAAATTGTTGTCAATTTGATGCGTCATATCCCATGATTTTAGTTTGCCTCTTGACAAACATGCAGTAATTATACAAAGGTGTTTATGAGTACAATGCACCATGGGTCCATGTCACCTCTTCCATCATTCTTCCCCCTCTTTCTCATTCCATCTTACTCACAAGTTATGTAGCTCAATTATTTACATGGTGGACCTTAAATACAATGACTTACTTGTTCACCCTTCCTCCCTCTACTCCTAACTTATCCTTGCCCTACCCCCAACAAAAATCTCAACATTCTATTCATGATTGAATAGTTTTAAAATAAAAGTGTGCTTCAATAGTATCTTATAAGATTTATTTTAGAGTATAAAATGTTCACCCATAGGACTTTGTTGTTTTCTGGGTATTATAAGTTTCAACTTTTAGGAATGAGTTTTTCCTTTTTATAATAATACTTGAATTTAAAATTGAACTATTTAAAATTATTTGAAATAACTGTAAGTCTCCCCTTATTATAAAGAAAAGTTAGAATCATGACTTTGAACACATTAAGATCTTTGATAATGTCTGAATCAATGATCCCATTTTAAAAAGGTACCTTTTGGATCTGAGAAGGTGGCTCAGTGGTAGAGTGCTTACCTTGCATGCATGAGGCCCTGGGTTTGACTCCTCAGCACCACATAAGCAGAAAATGCCAGAAGTGGCACTGTGGCTCAAGCAGTAGAGTGCTATCCTTGAGTTGAAGAGCTCAGGGACAGCACCCAGGCCCAGAGTCCAGGCCCCATGACTGACAAAAAAACTTTTTCAAGTTTGACTTTTTGTGTATGTGTGTGTGTGCCAGTACTGGGGCTTGAACTCAGGCCCTGGGCACTGTCCCTTAACTTTTTCAGTAAGGTTGGTGTTCTGAACTTCTGCCTGTGTGTGTGTGTGTGTGTGTGTGGTTAACTAGAGTTAAAAGTCTCATGAACTTTCCTTCCTGGGTTGGCTTTGAACCATGATATTCAGATCTTAGCCTCCTGAGTAGCTAGGATTACAGGCATGAGCCACTGACACCTGGCTAAGTTTGACTTTTATAGCAATACAAAAATATTTTGGTATAAAAATAAATATTCCAATATTTGAAAATTATGTTATTTCAACAGGAATTGATGATAGATTACAATCTTTTAAAACTGGAGGTTAAGCGCACTCGAGAACTGCTTCACAGTAAGGCTGAGGAAATTGTTTCACTGGAAAAAAGAAAACAGCAATTACGTACAGCCATGGAAGAGCGAAGTGAAGAAATTAAGGTTCACAAAACCATGTTGGCCGCCCAGATACGATGTGTGGATCAAGAACGGCAAATCATAAGGTAATTGTGAAGGTGTTGAAACATTACTGAAGAATTGGGAAACAAACATGAGGGTGATGTGAGCAACCCTGTCCCTTCCACTGCTTGTGGGATGGCCATCTCTATTACTCACAAGCAAAGGCTTTTCCTTAGGGTGAATCAGAGCCAGACGTCTAGGCTGTTTCTTCTCTCTTTCCTTTGACTAATCCTGTGATCTTTAGAGCCTCTGGTTTACTTTTTTTTTTAAGATTGTGCTGTTTTTTTGTGTGTGCTTTCAATGGAGAAATACATTATCTGTTTATAAAATAGCTCTTGAAAAATACAGGGAGTACAGATACTATAAAACAAAGCAAACTTAATTGTAAAGGTGTCTGTGTTTGTGTAGCTTCAGAGTTAGATTGACATCGCCAGGCACAGATTTAGTCTTGTCATTTTGTTTGCACATTGGGGAGAAAATTTTCAGTTTATTAAGCGTTTCATGTAACTGCATCCAAGTTTTGCCAGGCTGGAAACTTGGACCTTTTCTGTTTTACTTTAAGATCACTAATCGATTTGGAATTCATTTTTGTGCATGGCTGAGGACTAATATTTTCCTGTAGAAGTATTCAGCAGCTTTACCAAACCTCTAATTCACCTACAGATTCTGATATTCTAGGTATTCTTTCATATTAAAATTTGAATTATCATAGCTATGCTTCTTTCTTTCCAATCTATACTTTTTCTTTCTCTTTCTATATTGTACTTGCTAAGACCTCTAGTTCAGTTCTGAATAGTGGTGATTACAGCAACTTTTTTTCCTTATTCCTGTTCTCAGTAGGAAAACCATGCATTGTTTTGCCATTAACCCTAAGAGTGGCTGTGTTTTCATATATATTTATTTTTTGCTGTGCTGGAGATCCAACCCGGGACTTCCTGACATCTGGACAAACTAGGCTACTTCCGTTCCCTAGTTTGTTTTGAGATATCCTTTTCCATTTTCTTCAATAACAGATTGTTTATTTGTTTAACTAGAATGGATGTTGACATTTTCTTCATTCATTAACATGAATGAATTAACAGCTCAGTCTGTTCATGTAATTAATTATATTGATCAGTTTTTCAGAGTTAAGCCAAGCTAACATTTTTGCATCTGTACTTATGGGTACAAATGACTTACAGTTTTCTTTGCTCTAATGCCTTTTTAGGTTTCAGGTTATAAAAGTGTTATGTATACCTTTGTATTTTGTGTCTCATATTTTTCTATATTGTATCTATGTTTGTAAAAATAGAATACATTGGATTTTTAAAGACTATTGGTAAAGCCACTGGGGGCCTAGAATTTTCTAATGGGGAAAGATTTTCAACCACTGGTTAAATTAATTTATTACTATAGAAAAATGCAGTTTGGGGTTGGGAAGGTGACTCAGTGGTAGAGCGCTTGTCTTGCATGCATGAGGCCCTGGGTTCAATTCCTCAGCATCACATAAGCAAAGAGAAAAAAGCCGGAAGTGGCGCTGTGGCTCAAGTGGTAGAGTGCTAGCCTTGAGCTGAAGAGCTGAGGGA